TATGTATCGTGACAGAAAAAAATGCAATGCACAGCCCTAATCATTTCTGTAAAATAATTGTAAAATCTGACTTCAAATAACAAAGTTATGGGCAGGACACGATTTTGCTTCAAGGTCATGCCGTGATCTTGACCTTCAAGGTAGCAACCCAAATGTTGAAAGCGACATGTTGTCTCAATATGGTGATCATTTCTGTAAAATAGTTGTAAAAACCAACTTCAAATAAAGTTGTGGGCTGGACACAATTTTGTTTCAAGGTCATGCTGTGACCTTGACCTTCAAGGTAGCAACCCAAATGTTGCACATGACACATAGTCTCAATATGGTGATCATTTCTGTGAAAAAATTGTAAATCTGACTTCAAATAACAAAGTTATGGACCGGACACAATTTTGCTTCGAGGTCATGCTGTGACCTTGACCTTCAAGGTAGAGAGCCAAATTTGTGCACAACGTGTCATTTCAATATGGTGATCATTTCTGTGCAAACAATCGTAAAATCGGACTTCAAATAATGAAGTTATGGGCTGGACACGATCGCTGCAAGGTCATGCTGTGACCTTGACCTTCAAGGTAGCGACTAAAATGTTGTGTGCTACACGTTGTCTCAATATGGTGATCATTTCTGTGAAAAAGTTTTAAAATCCTACTTCAAATAACAAAGTTATGGGCCGGACACGATTTTGCTGCTAGGTCATGTTGTGACCTTGACCTTCAAGGTAGCGACTAAAATGTTGCGTGTGACACATAGTCTCAATATGGTTATCATTTCTGTGAAAAACTTGTAAATCCGACTTCAAATAACGAAGTTATGGGCCTGACACAATTTTGCTGCAAGGTCATGCTGTAACCTTGACCTTCAAGGTAGCGACTAAAATGTTGGGTGCGACACGTTGTCTCAAAATGATGATCATTTCTGTGAAAAAGTTTTAAAATCCACCTTCAAATAACAAAGTTATGGGCCGGACACGATTTTGCTGCTAGGTCATGTTGTGACCTTGACCTTCAAGGTAGCGACCCAAATGTTGCGTGCGACACGTAGTCTCAATATGGTGATCATTTCTGTGTAAAACTTGTAAATCCGACTTCAAATAACGAAGTTATGGGCCTGACACAATTTTGCTGCAAGGTCATGCTGTGACCTTGACCTTCAAGGTAGCGACTAAAATGTTGTGTGCGACTTTTTGTCTCAAAATGGTGATCATTTCTGTGAAAAAGTTTTAAAATCAGACTTCAAATAACAAAGTTATGGGCCAGACACAATTTTGCTGCAAGGTCATGTTGTGACCTTGACCTTCAAGGTAGCGACCCAAATGTTGTGTGCAACATGTCATCTAAGTATGGTGATCATTTCTGTGAAATAGTTGTAAAATTCGACTTCAAATATCAAAGTTATGGGCCGGACAGGAATTTCGGGACGGACGGACATTCCAGGGACAATATGCTCCCCCGAATTTTTTCGGGAAGCAATAAAAAAGGGGCCGTGCTGACAAGAAAGCACTTTGAAAGTTTGACTTTGGGCCGGATTGACTAATTTGGGGTCGGATTGACTAATTTGGGGCCGGATTGACTTTTTGTACCGAGATCTTCTGCAAAAAAATAAAATAATGATGAAGCAGGTATTCATGAAACTGGACACAAACTAGTCTATGAGAGGAATTGTATGTTTTTACCAAATGAGTGGCTTACATTTTTACTCACAACTTTCTTTGAAAATCAAAAGAGCGCTACACACAGTACAGTATTGACGTCGCTTGAACATTCAAAAAATTTAAATGCCAACTTGGTAAAACCATTTTAAATTTCATCAAGTAAAATATACAATCAAATATGATAAATTTTATTTTATAAAACATATAATATATAACTGCTGTCATGCCATCTGTCTTCAATGCCATACTATATTATTGTTTGAAATTTTTGATTTTAGATGTAAGCGACCATAGAAAATGAAAAATGGACAAAAATGAAGTGTTCATATTTCATGGTCCAGATTTTGCAGTAAATATGCATCGAATCACTTAATTGAAATTATACAATGCTAATGATTTGTTTTTATACATTTATTGACAGGGATAGAAAAAATGTGTGTTGAATGTATGAAAATTAAAACAAATGTCATAGGTTTTCGCGAATGCGGAATGGTAATAATTCGGCCCACTGTCTTTTCGACCCAAAACTATTCGCCGTTTGAAAAATTGTCCATAGTTTCTTACTGGCGTCTGAACCCAGACTTTCTGATTTCAAGCTTTGTTTAAGGTCTAACCAAACACACAAAAATCCTGGAAATGGCTTATATGCAATAATCACGTGAAAGACTGTACTTATTGAAATTATGTTTAAATTATCTATTTTCTTTAACAGTTTTTAATGTAATTCACGAATTCGAAAACCTAGCTAAACGCCGTTTTCCGGTACATTCAATGATTCTGTACATAGCTCTGGGGAATTCACCTAATGGAGTGTAATAGCGAACTCGATGTTTTCGGCCTTTTTTAAATTAAATTGAAAGAATACAGTTATTTCTTTATAAGAAAATAATTAAATATCATTGTATGAATAATTCCATACAAAAAAATAAAGTAAATACACAAGTTTACGCAGAAAATAACCTTATTTATTATGAAAGATTCCACTACGTCTGTTTGAATTTTATTGATTTTCATTATAAATAATTTATTTTTTTGAATAATTTGCAATAGATATTAAAGAAATATTGATTATTTTCAAAAACATCATTTTTTTTACCTTAAAAGGTTAAATAATGATAGAAAAATAGAAATATCACGTAACTGTGTTATGTACTTCATTTGGTGTAATTCCCCAGAGCTAAAACAGTAACGTACCGGAAAACGGTGTTTAGCTAGGTTTTCGAAAAGGTCAATGGCACATTCAAACAGTCAGATCTATTAGTTTTTAACAAAGGGAATGAATATGATAACTAGATTTGGTGAAAACATTATACATATATGTATTATTTGAATGCACCAAAAAGATAACCATTCATAATCATTATCAAATCAAGTATTCAACTTCACAACATTGAAGATTATACTATGTCACTATACAATCAGTAACCAGTCTATATCCGGAACTTCTATCAATACACTAACTACTTTTGTTTTCATTTTGATTTGTTTTGATTTTTGTTGTTGTCTTTATTTTTCCATATATAATATTGTTTTAAGATAATGACTACATCTGAAGGGCATATGGTATACATATATACAGTTTTTCAAATCATATTGATATTTTATATCGAGAAAAGATATTGCAATAACCAGTATACCACTGTAATTTCAAATACTCGTCTTATTTCACTTTCATACAAGTTTTAATGATGGCAGTAAAAATATGTTCTGTGCTTACAATTTTGATGTGTTTTGTTTGCACTTGTCCATTACATGTTTTTTTCTGACCATATTTTGTCTTCACTGCCATGAAATATTTCCATTAGTTACATAATAACGGTTATGGTTTTAGACATGTTTGGCACCTGCTTTTATATATGTTTTGGGTTTTCATAATTTTGAAATCTTTTTAATGAGTCAAAATTTTCAATATTTTCAAATCTATATCGATTATTGACTGACAGAAAAATATAAATGATATACGAAATTGTACTTTGAGTTTGACAATCATTTCTACTCCGATCATGTCCACTCTAATGCAAAAAGACTATGTATTTCATGAACATACTAATAACATCATAATGATTTTATTCAAATTACAATTCTAGCTGGAATAGTATTTACATTGTATATTCAAATTAAACTGGAATTACACCTGTACTGGGATTTTTGATTCCAGTTCCAGTTGGGTCTTTATATAATCTGCTGGAATTTCATCGGTTTTTTCACTAGGTTAAATCAAGTTTATTTCATCAGAGCAAAATTTTGATTGATTTAAAAACATATAGTATTGTGAAATACTGCAAAATTAATGAATTAGTATCAATACATTATTTCATTTAATATTAAATATTTTTGATATTATTATATATGGGGAAATGAGCCATGCCTACTTGCTTTATATTAAAGTATGTGGCAAGTTTTGTAACATTTGCCAAGTTAGTAATTCAAGCATAATTACTTTTTCTTTTCACATATACATAGATTACATGAATATCAATTTACACATGGAATGAATTTACCTAATATTAAAAATAATTAAATTATTGCTGAATATATCAAATGAAGGTACTCACTTAGACAGAGTTTACACTACTCAGGTGTTATCCTGTTTTTTTTTTTCTCTTATGCTAAATTTTTAATGATTCTTTCTTAGTTATACATGTAGCTGGAGGGTTCGTTCAAACTTTTACATAATTATATACAACAATATATGTAACTAATCATTATTCTATTGTATTGAGGGGGTAACAAGAGGATGATCATGATTTCCTGAAAGAAAAACAACACAATTTTTTATTTAAGTATCAGAACACTAACATATATTAAGCTTATGAGATAATCTTACTGCAGCTTGGCAATGAAGCTATGTATAATTTGTTTCCTCTATAAATGATCAAATTTTTATATAAAATATTATGAATTAACTGAACTGCAGAAATGCAGGTCATTGATCAGATTTGTACATTAACATAATGATAAAATCTTGTTATACAGTTGAAGTATTTTCTTTTAGAAGGAACAATTTTGATGTAAACTATCATTACCATTTCATAATGTATACTGTAAATACCTTTGCATATAATTGTGGGTCACTGACCAAGACCCATAACTCTAGCATGGATATTCTCTGAATTATTCTTATTTGTTAACTTCATTGAACTGAGGATAAAATATGACAGCTCTTGTTTTCTTTAATGATATTTTGTTTTTAATATTATCTGAAATTATATATAAATATATTTGCAGGGGAAATACACATTCTACTGTCGAGAATTTAGAAAAACTCATGAAGTGCTACAACCTGTGAAAATGTTTGCCAGGGATCCATCTCTTGGTTTTAGGGATATTTTGTTTACAGATTATTAAATTTTTGAAAGAGGTTTGTCCTTAATTTATGGGACTCTTTTCTTGGTTAAACTAAAACTATTCATTTCAATGATAAGACAGAGAAGCCAATATTTATAACATACATTTTTATAAAAATTCAAGATAGTATTATGTATTCTCATATGATGCCAGTATTGGTATTTCCAGGTTGTAATTCAGATAAACACAAAATTTTCATTAATATCTAGCTTAAAATGAATCGTGTTTAAACAATGTTGATAGTTTGTGCACTAATAACTACTGCTTTTCAGGGAAAAAAGATTGCAATTGTGGATTCCAATGAGTGTAAAAAGACTAGGCTATCATATGTCAAATTACTACAGAAAAAGGTCAGTCTCTAGTACAAAGATTTTCTTTTTCTTGGAATTCTGGTTTCTAATTAGCTAAAAGACCCGTATTAGAATGTTGTATTACGCATAATTTACAAGCTTGCTTTGATGCTTTTTTTCAATTAATCACAATGACTTATATTGTGACATTTTGGGAAAGTGCTTGCATTAGAGAAAACTGATAAGAAATATATTTGATGGATATCTGGATAAGTAAGTCTTATTGACAGAGAAAGATAAAGAATAGGAAGTCATAACATAATAGACCTTTGAAATAATTCTCAGCATTAACAATTTGGACACATTAACTATTTATTTCAATTTTAGTGTGAACATATGTCCATAGCAGTCGTCAGTATTTTACCCAAATATGGCTGTGAGCAGTTGTTCTGGACACGGGAACAAAGATTGGCTTCAGAGTCTGCTCTCTTTGAAACAAGAGATGGCTGTACATCGGAGATTTCTGTCAACGACAGTCGACTAACTAAGTGGTTCTCTAAAGATTCTGACATGGAGATAAAGTACATGCATGGTATAGGTACATAGTTAAATATCATTTTTAAAAGGAAACCTAGCAAACACACTGGTTTTCCAAATAGTTTGGCTGTAGTCTAGAATTGGTAATTTTTGATAGAAGTTATACAGGAAAGCTAGTAAGTAGTATTAACCACCGAGATATGGTTGAAAAGATGTTAATATGGGGGGGGGGGGGAAGAAAAACAACAAAAAAACAGAGACCTGTTATTTTCATACTGTCTCTCTATTAACCAGTTCATGCATACTTGGATAGCGGATCTATATATCCTCACTTAAGATTGTTCCCAGAAAATATACTGGAGATGCATGACATATTCAAAAGGAAAGGGTAATCCAATGTAATGATTCGTAAAGGAAAAGACGTGTCTATGTATTGCAGAGTGATATACAGTATAGTTCTAACAGTATGGTTTTAGTCTGCTAAGTTTAACAAGACATCAGCATTTCTAGTGTACATTATCTTACGTCTTAGGAATAGATATTTAGTATAGGACAATAACTTATAAACATCAATATGTTTATGTAATGATAACCAATTGTTTTTAATTGACTTTCCAGTTGAGAGGCCTTCTGAATCTGAAGGCTGCACAGTTATTGAGAAGCATACTGGAATTTACACTACGTCTGTCTACAAAGTAAGTTAATTGTGAAGTTATGATAATTACTCAGTAGAATTTATTCAATACTAGTAAGTTAAATAGATGAATATTTATATTAGTTTAAAATTTCAGAAAGGATTGTCTAAAAGTTTATGTCTGACACAACTGATTCTGCAAAATCCAGTGGAATTAGAAGTCACTTGTCACTTGTAGAGAATACGGAAATTACTGGTTAGTTGTGTAGGTAAACTAGTTAGGTGGATCAGCTACCAAGATAAAAACTAAAGACTTATTGAAATCAGTGTAAATGCCAGACAAACTAACAAACAGAATCATGTGGTGTTAGTATACAGAAAGTATCCTGGTACAACCTTCACTTGTTTAAAATTCATTATTTCACATCATGTTAGACAAAGATCAACATTATGATGGTATACTGAACCCTATAGTAGTAGCATTATTATTATGATATACACTTTAAAGATGCATTATTGCAAGGAGCTTTAAATATCATTATACATGTAAATACAGTTTAGAAGATAGCTAATTGCAAGCAAAATCAGCCAGATTATAACCGGTACTCATTCCAGTGAAATGTGCCTGGTTGTCACAAATGCTTCATGAAAAATAGCCAAATTACACGCAGTCTGCTACATAAGGACTGTTGTTATTACAATCTTCCACATTATCATAAATACTCTTTGAAAAATATTACATACAAGCAATCGTGCCAGATTCTTCAAAAAAGCAACTCAGTTTGTATGTTTATGTGTTTTTTTTTTCCAATTTTAACACATTTGTCACAGGGTGAGAAAAATGTGTAGCCTGATCTGGACTCAAACCCGGGACCCTCGGAATACTGTACCACGGCTCTATTGACTAAGCTATTAGTCACTTACACACTATCTCCTCTAAATAGTGAACAGTTCTAAACTGTGACAAATGTTTGGTTATATCTCAACAGTCAGTTTCCTGGATAACTAACCAGTAATTACCAATATCTCCATAATTGATCAACTACTAGTCCCACATGATATCTAAATTAGTGGTAAGAGACAAAATGACCATAAGACTCTATATCCAAGGTCATTGGCGTCCGCGCCGAAGCGCGGCGCTCTTATGGAATGAGATCAGATTTTGTGAAAGGGCGACAGCAACTTCTCGAGCCTTTTAGTCGGTCATAATAAAAGCCGAAAATTCCGATCGGTATTATTAAATAAGAATGAAATGTCGCGATATGTTACAATGAATTTTCGCAATGCAAACATTTACAAATGAAATAACCTTTTCCGTCAATAAATCGCGCTCTTCGGGGTTTTTTATTTATCATTTTGTAGTACACAGTCGGTTATCATGTCATGGTATGTTATTGTTGTACATGTATCCTAGAATGATCAGTTGATGACCGACCTAAATATTCCAAAAACTATTTATAGATATATCTTTTATCACTCCTATCGGTAAATGCCGGTCTCTCCCGGTCTATTTTGACCAGGATTTACTAGTGACCGGCGAATAGTACCACACGTTTATTGTCCGGTCTCTCCCGATTTTGGAGTAGATGTTTGATATCGTTACAATTGGAAAAAAACAACAATAGCATGTTTCATTTTATCTATATGAGATAAAAACAATAACTATGTACACAGATTTATATGTAATATAAATCCGTGATATGTACAATAATTGAGAAAAAGGTACATTTTTTATGGTATTAAAATGACATTATCAACTTAGAAACATTTTATTTAATTATTCAATTTGTTATCCGTGTTTAGTAAAGATGCCGAGGAATTATTCAAAGTTACAAATTAGATTTTATGAATTATTCAATTGATCGATAATTTAAAAAAAATGATAAAGAAAAATACAATGTACATGTACATGGTTTAAGAATAAACAATATTATATATTGAAAGATAAACCATAATTTACTGACTTTTTTCCAGTTAAGAATTTTACTTATAATCGTCGGTCAATATGACAATTGAATTCTTAAAAATTTATTTTACAATTTTAATAAAAAAGAGTAGTAAAAACTCAGTATTAAAAATAGCACATAAAACACAAAAAAGAATAAAAGAAAACAATATTCATAAAATTTGTATTTTTTTTAAATTAAAATTAATAGATATTACAATTATTGTATAATAAACAATTATGCTCAACATGATCAACATGGTAATATAACCAGTGTCATATTTTTACTAACTTAAAGTGTGAACAGATACCTTAAGGGGGTCTTCGCTAATAGCGATAACATGTACATAATAAGGGACAAATGTGTGGTACGTGTTGATCATGCGTTACACATATGGATTATAAATGATTGCATACATGTATATCCGTTGCTATTAATAACCACGATCATAAAGAAATAACAAGTAATATTCTAATCTCTAGCATGCCAATCAAAGTTCATAATGAACAATGTCTTTCGTCCGCTCATTCATAAGTGGTATACATTTCTGGTAGTTTATAAGAATATCTTGTCATCATATGTGTACTAGTTCATCTTCACTTGCTGCATTTCTTGCTTGGACGCCCTTTGATGCTTTGCATCAATGCTTTTCTTGTTTTGTCTTGGAGAAAATTCACCTGACACAAGGATTTAACAAGCGATTCCTGTATTTCAAATTAAATCCTTTCCCTGCTTAGCTAAGCAGACGAATTAAGATTAGCAAGTATAAAAATCTATGATTTGTAGAATTTGTATATTTATATTAATTATTATATTGTGAATTTTTTACTTTAAGTTTGAAGTACCTGTGATATTTATCCAATGGGAAGTGATTTGTGAACTAGAGGATGACAACAGAAGAATGTCCAAGTTGTCAAAGGCATTACATTTGTGGGCAGACATTAATATATGTGGAAGAATTATTGTTGTATGTGATGGTTCACAGGTCAATACTGGTAAGTTATTGTTTTCTATGTTATGATATCTTTATTTACATGTTTTTAGCTCCACTTTTTGAAGAAAAAAATGTGGAGCTTTTGTCATGACCCTGAAGTTGGCATTGTTTTATCTTTTTAGCTCACCTGAGCTTGCTCAGGGTGAGCTTTTAGGATCGGTGAATGTCCGTCGTACGTCGTACGTCCACAATTGCTTGTGAACACTCTAGCGGTCGCATTTTTGCCTCAATCATCATCAAACTTGGTCAGGATGCTTATCTAGTTGAAAGCTCGGATGAGTTCGAACATGGCTCATCTCGGATGAAAAACTAGGTCACAAGAGCTAAAAATAGAAAAACCTTGTGAACACTCTAGAGGTCACATTTTTGACCCAATCATCATCAAACTTGGTCAGGATGTTTGTCTAGGTGATAGCTCTGATGAGTTCGAACATGGGTCATCTCGGATGAAAAAGTAGGTCAGAGGAGCTATAAATAGAAAAACCTTGTGAACACTCTAGTGGTCACATTTTTGAACCAATCATCATCAAACTTGGTCAGAATGCTTGTCTAGTCAATTGCTTGGATGAGTTGGAACATGGGTCATCTCTGATGAAAAACTAGGTCACAGGAGCTAAAAATAGAAAAACCTTGTGAACACTCTAGTGGTCACATTTTTGACCCAATCATCATCAAACTTTGTCAGGATGCTAGTTTAGATAATAGCTCGAAAGAGTTCGAATATGGGTCATCTCGGATGAAAAACTAGGTCACCGGAGCTATAAATAGAAAAACCTTGTTAACACTCTAGCGGTCACATTTTTGCATCAATCATCATCAAACTTGGTCAGGATGCTTATCTAGTTGATAGCTTGGATGATTTCAAACATGGGTCATCTCGGATGAAAAAGTAGGTCACCGGAGCTAAAAATAGAAAAACCTTGTTAACACTCTAGCGGTTACATTTTTGCATCAATCATCATCAAACTTGGTCAAGATGCTTGTCTAGGTGATTGCTCGAATGAGTTCGAACATGGGTCATCTCGGATGAAAAGTAGGTCACAAGAGCTAAAAATAGAAAAACATTGTTAACACTCTAGCGGTCACATTTTTGCATCAATCATCATCAAACTTGATCAAGATGCTTGTCTAGGTGATAGCTCGGATGAGTTCAAACATGGGTCATCTCGGATGAAAAAGTAGGTCACAGGAGCTATAAATAGAAAAACCTTGTGAACACTCTAGTGGTCACATTTTTGAACCAATCATCATCAAACTTGGTCAGAATGCTTGTCTAGTCAATTGCTTGGATGAGTTGGAACATGGGTCATCTCTGATGAAAAACTAGGTCACAGGAGCTAAAAATAGAAAAACCTTGTGAACACTCTAGTGGTCACATTTTTGACCCAATCATCATCAAACTTTGTCAGGATGCTAGTTTAGATAATAGCTCGAAAGAGTTCGAATATGGGTCATCTTGGATGAAAAACTAGGTCACCGGAGCTATAAATAGAAAAACCTTGTTAACGCTCTAGCGGTCACATTTTTGCATCAATCATCATCAAACTTGATCAAGATGCTTGTCTAGGTGATAGCTCGGATGAGTTCGAACATGGGTCATCTCGGATGAAAAACTAGGTCACAGGAGCTAAAAATAGAAAAACCTTGTTAACACTCTAGAGGTCACAATTTTGACTCAATTGTCATCAAACTTGGTCAGGAAACTTGTCTAGGTCATTGCTGGGAATAAATCCAACATGGGACATCGTGGATGAAAAACTAGGTCACAGGAGCTAAAAATAGAAAAAAATCTTGTTAACACTCTAGTGGCTACTGTTGTGATCCAAATATTTTGTTAATTGGTCTAAAAGTTTGTTTTGATGATTTCTAAGTCAAGATCCAACATGGGTCATCTTGGATGAAAAACAAGGTCACACCGCCCAAATATGGTAAAACCTTGTTAACATTCTAGTGGTCACATTTTTGACTCAATTATCATCAAACTTGGTCAGGATGCTTGTCTAGGTAATTGCTTGGATGAGTTCGAAATCGCATGTGAAACTAGGTCACCGGAGCTAAAAATAGAAAAATCTTGTTAACACTCTAGTTGCTACTGTTTTTCTCCAAGTATCCTGGAAATTGGTCTGAAAGTTTGTTTTGATGATTTCTAGGTCAAGTTTGAATATGTGTCACCTGGGTAAAAAACTAGGTCACACTGCTAAAATCCTTGTTAACACTGTAGTGGTCACATTTTTGACTCACCTGTCATGAGACTTGGTCAGAATGCTTGTCTAGGTAATTGTTTGGATGAGTTTGATAAGTCAGGTGAGCGATCTAGGGCCATCATGGCCCTCTTGTTAAATATTAGGCCCATTTTCTCAGAAACTGTTGAGACGGGTCTTGTTTAAATAGATTTACAGTCAAGGATAATTTAAAAATAAAGATATGAATTGAAATAAACTAATATTAGAATTCAACCCTCTTGCAATATTTTTTGATAATTTTAAGTAGCCACTTATTATATTCCTAAGTCTGTGATAAATAAGATATAAAAAAATGTACATGTAATTGATTGATGAAACTCTAAAATTAATGTAACAATGTTTATAGGAGAACACATACATGAATAGAGAAGTGAAAACATTTTTATTATCACAGTCTGCTGTATGATGTAATTGTATTGCTTAAAAGTGAAATGTAAAAATATTTCACTTCAAAACAAGTTTAATGTACTATGTTAAATAAATATATCAATAATTTAATTTGATGCATTTTGATTAAAAGTTTTCTTGTAGTGTAAGATAAGATATAAATTATATCTAACTGGTTGGTTAGCATACATGGAAAATATTACTTGTATATATAATACAGGTGAAGAAACAAAGATACAACAACAAGCAAATATTGACACATCTGTCAGCAGCTTGATAAAACAGGTAATAAATACTTCTTACATTAACTTTTCAAGCTTCTATTATTGGGGATATAATGTTAATAGTAAAACCCTAAAGTTTGTCATGGACATGTAGGCTGGCATGACTTTGTGCTTGTACCAACGACTGTTGTTTTTTTGGAGTTTTTTTTTTCAGCCCAAAAATTCCTTAAAATACATTTTAAAAAATTTAAAATCACCAATTGCATATTTTTCATTTCTTTCAAAGAATTATCTTGATTGAAAAAAATATAAATGTCAGCTGCCAATAAAAGGAAATAAAAACCATGGAAATTTTAGTTTTTTGTAAACTTCACCTATGAGTGACAACATTGGGATGTTGCTTTGCTTTCAGTATGGAATTTACTTTAGGGAAGATGTCTTTATATATGGATTAAATTATAGCCTTATACACATCTTACAGGAAGAACAACCTTTCACACATATGTTACTATTGGGTACTTTATCCAACAATTGAAAATAAAGATTTCCATTGGTAATCTGAAGACTATAAGATTGGCCCAAAAAAACCCTTGTAAATTTGTTTGCAAATTATCTTTCACTCTTGGTTCATTGATTTGTACTGAACCATAGAAGTGAGATTGACAACATATGCATAAAAAGAGGTTTAACCTTTCAGTTGTATATACTTAAATGAATTATTTAAACATATTTATCAGGGAAATGTTTTTTATCAAGAAATGTTGTTGTTTTTTCCTAGTTTACCAGATGTCCAGTATATGTATACCATGTTGTGGATAGGAAGCAAGCTGGCAGTTACATTGTCCCTCCAAAACCAGGAATTCTGGCATTTTTACAGCAGAGGCATTGTCTAAATTTACACTCTAGGGTAAATATTTTAAACAGTTTAATATATGCTTGAATTTAAACAGTATACCTCCAGATTCATGCTTATTGTCATAAAGATTTTGAAAATGAAATTTATATGTATAATATTGTGAAGTAACCAAAGAAAGTAATTTACACTTGCAGACTGTGAGCACTTTAAATCCACATAAATTACCAGAAACAGGTAGAAATATACACAAAAAAGCCTTTACTGCATTACTCGCCTAGAGCAAAATAGGCCATTAATCGCACACAAGATATGAATTATAACTTGATTCTTGAATCTTTTTATTTTTAAATGAGTGTATTTTTCTCACAATTGATTTTCTTTAAATATATTGGCTCATCTGGAGGCAAAAAAAGTATTTATTGACAGTCTGACAAAATAAGGGAACAATGTAGATCAATGTTGGCCTGCACTGGTTATGTGGGGTCATTCAGTTGTTGGCCAGCAGGCTAAGGATTAACTTATTTTTCTATTTCCAAGAGTATTCATTATTACATATGACACCATTGATTATCATTAACAGCTTCATATGTTATTTGAGTTGACAAATATTTTTGTTTTATTTCAGAGAAGTGTTTACATGTTTGAGACATCATGTCACATGAAAATGGCCGAAAATGCAGGAGTCAGACATATTAAGGTGAGGTGGTAGGGAAGTTGAACAAGTTACTTTTTCAGCTGTATAATTATGTTCATAAGTTACATATCAAGTTGTCATGAGGTGGTTGTTCTACTAGGGCAAAAGCTTGTGCCAATCATGAAGCAGTTTTTGGATTATTTATTTACCATTGAGGCTTGAAATTGCCATTTGTGTATAACTTAGCATCTTGTGTGTCTTAGAAGTAGCACACCTTTATATTATATCGTGAATAATTTAAAAGTGTTATAACATGTAAATATGTTATAAAGAAGACAAATTAAGTTATTAAATTTAGTGTAAGGCGCTTTATCACAAAAAATGCTGAAAATGTGCAGAAACAGATTTACGTTAGTGCTCTGAAAGAAATACATGTATGACAAAAATAGTAAATTCTCCAATATTTTGCCCTTTATAATCCTTTTACATTGGATTTGTGACTTTTAACATCTTTCTAAAAAAAAAAAATGGATATTTTGCATGTTTTGTTACTTAAATATTAGTAGCGAGAATAGAATAAATTTTTAGCTCACCTGTCACTTTGTGACAGGGTGAGCTTTTGTGATCACTTTTCGTCCGGTGTCCGTCCGTCGTCATCCGTAAACTTTTACTTTAAATTACATCTCCTCATAAACCACTAAGCCAATTTCATCCAAACTTCACAGGAATGTTCCTTTGGTGGTCACCTTTGAAAATTGTTCAAAGAATTTAATTCCATGCAGAACTCTGGTTGCCATGGCAACCAAAAGAAAAAACTTTAAATATCTTCTTCTAAAAATTCCAAAGAGCTAGAGCTTAGATTTTTGGCATGAAACATCTTCTAGTGAGTGTCTACCAAGTTTGTTCAAATAAAAGCCCTGGGGTCAAAATTGGCCCCGCCCCAGGGGGTCATTGATTTTTCCTATATGTATATAGTAAAAACTTAAAAAATCTTCTTGTAAAGAACCCAAAGAGCTAGAGCTAAGATATTTAGCATGAAACATCTTCTAGTGGGTGTCTACCAAGTTTGTTCAAATAAAAGCCCTGGGGTCAAAATTAGCCCCACCCCAGCGGGTCATTGATTTTCCCTATATGAATATAGTAAAAACTTAAAAATCTTCTTTTAAAGTACCCAAAGAGCTAGAGCTAAGATATTTAGCATGAAACATGTTCTAATGGATGTCTACCAAGTTTGTTCAAATAAGAGCCCTGAGGTCAAAATTGGCCCCGCCCTGGGGGACATTGATTTTCCTTATAATTATGTGTATAGCAAAACCTTAAAAATCTTCTTTTAAAAAACCCAACGACCCAGACTTTAGATGTTTAGCATGAAACATCTTCTAATGGGTGTCTACCAAGTTTGTTCAAATAAAAGCCCAAGGGTTTAAACTGGCCCTGCTCCGTGGGGCCTATATACAGGTGAGCGACTTCAGGGCCATCATGGCCCTCTTGTTTGATATTGAGATTTAACAAATTATCACTTTAAGAATAAAATTTCAAAAGTTTGAAATCTGGCAATAGGACGGGAGAGGAATATCTGTATCAGAATTTCATTAGGCAGTAGTGAACCTGGAAGTGTTTGGGAGCTGTAAATACATGATATGCATACCATTCAAAATCTAAACTTTTGACAATGTTTATCATTTAATTTAACTTTTCTTTTTATTCATTATTTAACCTTTCAGTTTGATCACCTGTATAAATGACTGATCTCAAGGAACATTACCATTCCTTAGCTTAGCTTGTTTTTAAAATTTGACAAAATAGAATTTAAGCATATTACACATAAATTTTATTACAAGTTAGCTGTATGTAAAAAGTTGTATTGAAGTTTTAATGATAATAATATTGGTATTTTTTCAGGCTTCAAGAGTGATAGATCACCCATCCTTGGTAAGAATTGTATTCGCTAAAGCTAAAACATTTTATGTTATCATGGTGTCTATTTAGAAATGTCTCTTAGGGTTAGTTAAGAAGTATTCTAAAGACCTAAAATTTTGTTGTCACTTCAGTGAAATCCAGTCAAAATGAAAAAAACTTTCAAAGTTATGCACTATTTGATGATAATTTTTGTGAAATAAATAAAAAATTATTTCATTTTAGCTCTACTTTTTTTATGCCCCCGGGTATATAGTAATTGAACCGTCCGTCCGTCCGTCAAAGCAACCAAATAGGGTTAGGGGGCCATCTAACAGTAAACAGAACAAAAGAGAACAAAAGAGTTAATTCCATACAATAGAATAAGGGGTCATAGCCCTCTATTAAACAAAAGAAAATAACAAAAGAAATGGCCCTTTAGTCCATTTAAGTGGCACATCCGTCCGTCTGTCCGTACGAGGTTAACCTAGAACGGCCAGTTGGATTTTTCTTAAGTTCTACCTGTACCAATGGCTTCATAATTTACACACTTACTAATCAATACAAAGTATATGATCTGGGCAAGTTACATAACTATGGCTTCCATTTGCACCAAGTTATGGCCCTTTTCAGCACTTAGAAAATGAATAATGGTTAACCTAAACTGGCAAGTTGGAAATATCTTATGTTCTATCTGAACTAATGGCTTAATAATTTTCACACTTATTTATCAATACAATGTACATGATATTGCCAAGTTATATAAATGTGCCATCCATTTTCCCAGTAATTTCCCTTTTTATCACTTTGAAAATAGGGCCTTGTATGGTTAACCTATTCCGCCAAGTTGGATTTATCAAAAAATTTCACCTAATTACTTAATTTATTTAATGATATCTTTCATATTTGGTAGGTGGATACCTTTAACGGTCCTCTAATTTTTTGTGGTGTTAGGCGTCTCTAGGTCAAGGTCACTTGTGTAAAAAAATAAATCTAAACATTTCTGCTCATACAGCCTTTATTTTTAAGTTAATGTCTTTCATGTTTATAATTGTCATACCAAGGGAGGTTCTCTTCCTTTTCCTTTAGTAAGGGGTCATTTGGGTCAAGGTCACCAATGTCAAAAATAGATTTTTTACACTTTTACAGGTGTATTCACCTTATTCTTTCGACAGATGTCTTGTATATTTTGTAGGAAAATAAAATTGAGGTATTCTCATTTGGATGGAGGTAGGGGTCAGTTGGGTCAAGGTCACCAGTGCTAAAAATAGATTTTTACACTTTTGCTCATACAGCCTTTATTTATTGACAGATTTGTATTATAATTGGTAGGAAGATAACTTACATGGTATTTTTCCTTTGGATGGACTTAGGGGTCAGTTGAGTCAAGGTAAACAGTGCTAAAAATAGATTTTTACACTTTTGCTCATACAGCCTTTATATATTGACAGATTTATTTCATATTTGGTAGGAAAATAACTTGCATGATATTCTTCCTTTTGACAGAGGTAGGGGTCAGTTGGTCAAGGTCAAGGGTGCCAATTACAGATTTCTACACATGATTGGTTTTCTTCCATACAAATTAGCTACTTCACTCTCTAAAGTTAAATTATTGACAACAGTGAACCGGGGGCATTTGTGTTTATCAAACACAGATTCTTGTTTTTCATTTTTATAGCTTATCTCGAGCCATGCAGCTGTCACTCCATCCATTCCTGAAATGTTGAAGACACAGAAAATATTGCCTGTTCAATCTAGTGATAAACTACCGTCTATACCTCTTGTACAATTAAAGGATACATTTTCCGAGAAGAAAATTTCACAAAATTTACAGCATGGAAGATGTGAATATATGTATGCTGCAGATTTTGAAATGATTGAAAGGTTTGTATGCATGTTAGATTACACAGCTGAGGGGTATTCATGGCTTTTTGGTTAAGGTTGCTGACTTCAAACCACTTGCCCGTCACTGCTTTGGGTCAGATTCCCAACTTTTGATTTTTTCATGTGAGGAAGCTATCCAGCAAGATTCTGAAACATTAATATTTGTAATCATGTGCCTGTTTGTGTCTGAAATGATGCACAGAGGAGCACCTGAGGTCTTCCTTCATCAGTAAAGCTGTAGTTTTGCGATATGACCATTACAGTGTTTGTCGATGTAAAACCCAAAAAGAAGAGGATAACACTGATCAAAGTTCTGTTGTTATGTATTTCCATAGAGTATTTGTGGGGATAATTTAAAGTACAGATTAGATTGTATTTTTGTCTTTCCATCGATGCAGTATGTTTTGTTCGAAATATTATTTAAATTTGATAAATTTATTATGAGGTAACTGAGTGTAGAATAACTTCTTGTTTAATTTACAGGCTGTCCAGCGTCCCTAAAATTCCTAAAAAATCCTAATTTTTTTCAGTTTGGCTAAAATTCCTAAAAAAATGAAAAATTCAAAGGGAATTCCTAAAAAAGCCCTATTTTTTCACTTACATTCCTAATTTTTTATCTTTTGCGATAGACATATCGCGAAACAACCATGTTTCAATCACAACCCAATTTGGAACACAGTCAGTGGAGCTGATGTCATGTCTGACTAAATTGCATAAAGTCACATGTTGTATTTACTTCAACTCCTGCAGAAATGCCATACATGATTAATTACCAGATGTTATCAGAGAAATAAAAAGAAACTTTTTGTTTTAAATGGAACAATGAAAATTGTCTGACTTTGACTATATCAAAATAGTCACCAGTGTTTAAAATTGTGATAAAAAAAAATTCCAAGGAAGTTACATTTTTATTGGCTACAGAGTTTTACCATTTACCACTAAATTTCATCAAACTTTATGAAGGGGTCCTTATTAGTTAAATCTTAATTTGTAATCAAGTTATCTGTAGAACAGATCTTTTGTAAGTGATACCAGCTGGCAGATCTAGACAAGTATAAAGTGGGTAAGTTAAACTGGTAGTATATGATGACTGGATGCTTTAACCATTTTGCTACCCTGGCAGTGAATTAGGGTACTAAGAAGTAACACCTTCAGCTGCCCTTTTTTGTACATATTAACATGTACTGAACATATGTTATAACATATAGTGTAAGTTTTTTAAAATCTGGAAAAAAATCTGTTGAAAATCATTGAAAAAACTGACACTGTTGTGAAATTTTATACAATTTTTAGTAGCCTGATTTATCTTTAACAAATTCTTCATAGGTGTATACCCTGCTGTTTGAATTTAAGTTTTTATATTCCTGGAAATGACTTGAGTGGGTCATTTTGTTTTTATTTTTTTTAAGAAAGATCAAGACTTGTTGAAAATGTACCAACCTTAAAATGAATAAATGTTTATAATAAATGCATTTATAGCAGCATAATTTCCCCTTCCATTTATTATTGGCTAACCAAGGCTTAACTAATTGAATATTGGTTGTTCCGGGATACTTATAACTTTGAAAATGTTTTCATTCTAGTTATGTTTTAATGTAGTTTTTCAGCTCTTTATAAAGGCAGTTGACCAGTGAATCCATTTCTTCACTGGTGACTATGTAACACTGGTAACACCTTTGCTATAACCCAACTAGAGCATTATTTGTGAGTTACTTTTGTGTCAAATATACAAAGTTGAGCCCATATCATGGTCTTTTGAGTCCATAATTTAGTTATGAAATTCCAAATTTTAGCCCTAAAATTTCTCTATTTTAACCTAAAATTCCTAATTTTAGCCCTAAAATTTCTTAAAAATTGCCCTAAAATTTGCCCTAATTTTTTGTCAGAAGGTGCTGGACAGTCTGAATTTAGTCTGTAAGAATGTTTTTATCCTGCCATTTCTCATAAATTGTCACCAGTGTTGAGTAATATATTTTACCAAAGGTTTATTATTTTGTTGAGCAGATTGCATTTTCTTTTCAAGGTATAGTGATTCATATATAAAGTCTGTGACTAAAGTAGGAACACCAGGAAGTAAAATGTCACCCAAGAAGAAATGCCATTCTACACCAGAAAAATCTAGTACCAGTCTCATTTCTAATTTATCTACTGACCAATCAAGAATTAACCTTGCATCACGTGACCTTCCTAAATGGATGATAAAAAAAGACAGAAGTCAAGGTTCAAGGTCATCTGAAGATAACAACCAATCAGAATGTGGAAAACAAAAACTTGAAAAAATCAGGTTTAACATTTTTTGTCAGAGACCACTTTAGAAATATGTGTACAACATGTGTTTGTTAGTTGATATTTTTTCTTATTGTGAAAAGAAAGTAATCATAGATTTAACAGTATTTCAGTTTATAAATAGCAAGCAGTTATACCATTAAGTCTAGGTTCTGTACCAAAATTAACCTATTAGCCAGCTCATTTAAAGTTTAGGGTCAATTATGAGATGTCTGTTTTCAACAACATTAAAAAATCATTTACTTCAGTCAAATTGCTTGTCCCTCACCACTGTAGGTTTGAATCTCATCAGGGAGAAATGGATTCTTTCCTTTGAGAATGCTATCATCTTGGCTTCTTGAAGTTTGGCTTCTTTGACTCATGTGCCAATTCAAGCATGAAATATTACATTGAGAGGTGCCCGAGGTTTCTTCTATCAGTAAAGCTGAATGTCATGATATCACAGTGTTCATATGACTTGAAACATTTACCACATTGGGGAAGTCAGTTAAACTGATCATGAATATAAACACATTCATTTGTGTGACTAAGATTATATTTTTTGTAATAAAACAATATGGTAACAAGTTTAAATTTATCATGTAAGCATAACTGTATTGAAAATATTCTTTGTGACTGATGTTTCCTATAGATGAGATATAAAATATTGTAGATATTTATATTTGCTTTTTATTTTCAGGAAAACAATGTATGTGATGACAGAAAAAGAATTGGTTGAGGTAGCATGTGATATTCTTAAACAGGTGCAGGAAATATTGATAACATGTTGGTCTTTCACATTCAGTTTTATGTTGTCATCATTATAAAACCTGATATAACTTTATCATATTTTATAAAACACTGCAAGAATTCATGTGACACTTGACACATTCTCTTTTACTCCATAACTTACCTTTTACTAAATTCTTCTTCTTTTTTATTTTGAGTCTTACAGTATGTTTGCTCTTATTTTACTATGAAGTACTGGGTATAGTCAGTCAAGTATTTTGTGCTGTAGTTTTTTGTTATAACCACTAACCTGTTGGAACCATAAATTAATAAACATTTGTCACCAGTATAGAGTCAGACCTGCTAGCACTTATGTTTAATCTTAGCAGGTTCTATAATGTTGGCAGGGGAACTTTAGATTGCATGTTGATATGCCTACATATTGATAATGGACAGTTTCAGAAGCAAGACAAATTTTCCATTTAAGAAATTCAGCAGGTTAAAGCATTCCATCCGTCAAGAGATCATTTTATCCTACTAAAACATTACATTTCCAATCTGATATTTGTCTGGAAAGTGCTTACACATTTATAATT